TAGGGCTGGGTTTTGACACAAATTTCACGATTCGATTCGATTCGATGCTCATTCACAAGCTTGTGATTCGATTCGATTCGATTACCGATTCGATTCAATATCGATTATTTTGGATATATATCAGGTACAGTACATGCCAAATTTTCTCAAGGAAAAAAAATCTCAACTGATGCTGTAAAATATAGGCCTACATGAGAGTCAGTTGGTACAACATTACTATAATATTGAAGGTTAAAATTAATGAAGTTTTTACAATAATAAAGTTACAGTTACATATTATTTCTACTTAAATAGTTCAATTCGTTTTTTTTTTAAATATAAACATTTAAATGGTGGCTATCATAAAAACTTGATGGATTTATTCTAACATAAATTAAACAGTGAAGAACAGTAAAAAATTATAATGAATATGTTATATGGTGCATATATTAAGCAAAATGCCCCTTTCTACAGTTTATTTTTCTATATGACTAATGGGTTTATGGTCACCGAATATGTTTTTTTCTCTAAGGTAAATGTAAATGTTACGTGACATATTGTTTACAAGCCGTTATATTGGCATCTTTGCACGGCTGAAACACAGATTGAGCGATTACATGACACAGTTTACGGATTGTAAAGTTGTACTCTTTCCTTTAACTTACCTTCGGATATTTAGTCATGTTTATTTTGTGCTGAAACTGGTATTAATGTGGAGGAGATGATTAGTTCACGTGTACCTCGCGCTGCCGCGTCTGTTGAACTGAGGCGCTACAGCGATCTGTCACTAATGCTTATTGCGATTTATTGGATGGGAGGTGCCCTTCGATGATCCGTCCATTAACTGAAACAGGCTAGAATAATCGATTCTTGGGATTTAAGAGTCGATATCGTTCCGTAAAAAAGAGGATCGATTAATATCGAGATATCGAGATTTTTTACCCAGCCCTAATATTACTAATCAAAAATTAAGTTTTGAAAAATTAAGGTAGGAAATTGACAAAATATCTTCATGGAACATGATCTTTTCCTAATGATTTTTGGCAAAAAATAAAAATCGATAATTTTGACCCATACAATGTTTTTTGGCTATTGCTACAAATATACCCAAGCGACTTAAGACTGGTTTTGTGGTCCAGGGTCACATATTAAGATGTTGCTGTCTGAGGTCTTGTGGAGGCTTGATCGTAGAGAGGAAGCATCAGCACACTGGAGGGAAGCCTATAGTACTTCAGATGCACCTAAGTCAGTGTAAGCTATCAGAAAAGTCAATATTGTTAACTTGTGTGATCATTAGTGCTGTCAAGCGATTAATTGCGATTAATCGCATCCAAAATAAAAGTTTTTGTTTACATAATATATGTGTGTGTACTGTGTATATTTATTATGTATATATAATATAACACACACATACAGCATATATTTTTAAAATATTTACATGTATTTATGTGTGTATATTTATATTCATATAAATTATATCATATAAAAATATATTTAATATATAAACGTAACATATTTTTATGAAATATATACATGCATGTTTGTGTATTTATATATGCATAATAAATAGACACAGCACACACATATTATGTAAAAAAAAAACTTTTATTTTGGATGTGATTAATTGTGATTAGTCGTTTGACAGCACTAGTGATAATATACTCTTATCATAATATGACTTTTCACATGAAAGTTGAGCATCGTTGGAATCTAAGAGATTGTAACTGGTATGATAAATGTTCAGAAATCTTTTGACTTGCGTTTCAGAAATGTGCCGCTGTATTTGCAGCTATGGCCAGATGACACAGCTTTTGACTTCAGTGAGTTGAAGAAGAAGATGGTGGAATACATTCAAGCCAAAAAGACATGAGAGATGTCAGAAAGGATGTTCTCTACTAAATTCTGCTAAATTGTACCATTTCACTTTTTTGGTGTGTCCAAACCAGAACTACATACAGAGAAGACAGTTTGTGTTGCCTAATTTCCTTTTCAGATGTAACCATGTAGCATTCCACTTGTCAGAACAAATGATTTGTGAGCTCAAGAATGCATCCAGACTGGTATCAGATTCTTTATATATCTTATGCTTGCCAATTTCTCTGATTAGCATCTTGTTTTTTATCTATGATTTTTTTCAAATAAATAATGTTCATAATGAAAATTATTTGTAAAAAGTAATGCCATCAAGTTAGCATTTTTAAACATCATAATCAAACATTATAATAAGTTAGCATTCATCACCACAAATGAAATGAAATAGCCCCTCCTAACTTTACTTTCATGAGTGTCTGTTAGAAGAGGTGGAGGTGTAGCTGCTCTATTTAAAGATGTTTATCAATGCAAGCAAGTGTCATTTGGTCAGTATTTGTCTTTTGAATATCTAGGAATTGTGCTGAAAGGTGTTCCACGCATCCTATTTATCATTATTTACAGGCCTCCAAAATACTCTCCAGCCTTTGCTGAAGAGTTCACAGAAATGCTATCAATGATTTCCTCAGAGCTTGACGGTTTTGCTATTGCAGGGGATTTGAATATTCACATAGATAATGCAGAAATCAAAACTACAAAATAAATCATAACTGTTTTAAACACTTTTGACCTGATTCAGCATGTGCATGAACCCACACACAATCGTGGACATACTCTAGATTTAATCATCAGTAGAGGTCTAAACATTTCATCCATTGTTATTAAGGACGTAGCACTATCTGATCACTTCTGTATTTTCTTTAATATATTGATCTCTGTTACCACTGAATCTAGATCTGTCTCTGTCAGAAAGAGATGCATTAACGAAAACACTAGTGTGCTATTTATGGAGGCTATATCTTTAACACCAAGCATTTCTGCAGACTCTGTTGATCTTCTCCTTGATTCCTTTAACTCAAAAGTTAAGAATGTTATTGATGACATTGCTCCTGTGAAAGTCAGCAAGAAGACTGGCAGACAGAAATCAGCTTAGAGAAAATCAACAGCAGTTCAGAGTATGAAAAGACAATGCAGAAAAGCAGAACGGATGTGGCGGAAGACGAAACTTGAAATCCACTATAGCATATATAAAGACAGCCTTCGTGCTTTCAATGTGGAACTAGGCAAAGCTAGACAGTCATTCTTCTCAAACCTTATAAACAGTAACTTAAACAACACTCGCACTCTTTTTGCTACTGTTGAGAGACTGACAAACCCCCCAAGTCAGATTGCCAGTGAAATGCTCTCCGACAGCAAATGCAATGAGTTTGCTTCCTTCTTTTCTGAGAAGATCAATAATATCAGGAAGGCGATTAGCACATCCCCAAGTTATGCAGAGGTTAGACAGATTCGACCACAATATCAAAAAGAAGATACTATGTCTGCTTTTGAAGAAATTGATAGCAAAATTTTGGAAGAAATAGTACAGCACCTTAAATCGTCAACCTGCTATCTTGACACACTTCCCACATATTTTTTCAAAAGGGTGCTTAACTGTTTGGAAGCAGATCTCTTAGAAGTGGTGAACGCCTCACTTCTTTCTGGGACTTTTCCAAACTCCCTGAAAACTGCAGTTGTTAAACCCCTTCTGAAAAAGAGCAATCTTGATAACACCATATTGAGCAACTATAGACCAATATCAAACCTTCCTTTTATAGGAAAGATTATTGAAAAGGTAGTCTTTAATCAGCTGAACAAATACTTAAACTCAAATGGATACCTGGACAATTTTCAATCTGGTTTTCGACCGCATCACAGCACAGAGACAGCGCTCATTAAGATAATAAATGATATTCGCAGAAGAGGTGGAGGTGTAGCTGCTCTATTTAAAGATGTTTATCGATGCAAGCAAGTGTCATTTGGTCAGTATTTGTCTTTTGAATATCTAGGAATTGTGCTGAAAGGTGTTCCACGCATCCTATTTATCATTATTTACAGGCCTCCAAAATACTCTCCAGCTTTTATTATACTACGTAAGAGTTTACAAAACTGTTAGCAATGATTTCCTCAGAGTTTGACTGTTTTGCTATTGCAGGGGATTTTAATATTCACATAGATAATGCAGAAATCAAAACTACAAAATAAATCATAACTGTTTTAAACACTTTTGACCTGTTTCAGCATGTGCATGAACCTACACACAATCGTGGACACACTCTAGATTTACTCATCAGTAAGGGTCTAAACATCTCATCCATTATTATTAAGGACGTAGCACTATCTGATAACTAGTGAGATTCCCACAGTCAGATTCCCATTGAACTTCTCTCCGAAAGCAAATGCAATGAGTTTGCTTCCTTCTTTTCTGAGAAGATCAGTAATATTAGAAAGGCGATTTGCACATCCTCAAGTTATGCAGAGGTCAGAAAAATTCGACCACACCTTCAAAAAGCAGTTACTATGTCTGTTTTTGAAGCAATTGATAGCACATACTTAGAAGGGAGAGGTTATTATGCAAGTATAGGTGAGCATACCTATATGGCGAGCATACGTCTAAGTGGACGTTAATGAAATGCGGAGTCCCACAAGGATCAATTCTTGCTCCGCTCTTGTTTAGCCTGTATATGCTCCCACTAAGTCAAATAATTAGAAACAACCAAATTGCCTATCACAGCTATGCAGATGACACCCAGATTTACCTAGCCTTTTCTCCAAATGACTACAGCCCCATTGACTCCCTCTGCGGTGAATGCATACCTTGACTCTAGGGGTCAAACAACTCAAGAATCTTGGTGTGATTCTGGAGACAGACCTAGTTTCAGTAGTCATCACAAAGCAGTAACTAAATCAGAATACTATCATATCAAAAACATTGCAAGAATTTGATGTTTTGTTTCCAGTCAAGACTTGTCCACTGTCTTTTCAGAAAAACCATATAAGCCTATATCTTAAATTGTTGAATTATGCGGGATCAGCTACACTAAGGCCTTGCTCACGATCGCATCCTGGCCTAAATCTAGCGGATCAATACGGCTTTCAGTCCAGTGTTTTGTGGAAAGCTCTGGAGTAACTTGAGCTTGACAAACCTGCAAATGAGCAGAAATGCACTTATCCATCGACTCCATCGTAACAGACAGGATAATAATATGTAATGTTTCTTTTCTACTTCATATGAAACGTAACGTATCTTTCACTTTCGCCTCAAGTGATACTGGAAGAAATAAAAGTAGCAACTATCTGTCTCTGGTAACCACCTGAGAAATGTAAAACATTGTTATAGGGTCAATTCACATGACAATGAGAATCATCATTTAATCTCATTCCCCCCCCCCTTTCTGAGTCAGGTTACTTAAAATTATTTAATTAAAACAAATCTGTTTAAATACTGGAAACACAAATTGTCATATAAACTCAGATCACATTTCCCCCTCTATTGTTTTTATTGAAGAACATGCAGAATATTCTGGAAAGTTGAGAGCGACTGCTTTAAAATGTTGTTATTTTCTATACAGATCCAAAAATGATGATCTTTCCACTGCCATTCTGAAGCAGAAGAACAGGCCAAATAGGTTGATTGTTGATGAATCCATCAATGAAGACAACAGTGTTGTGTCTCTCTCTCAGGTACCATCTTGAGTTACATTTTAAATGTATAAAAATTTGACCCTTCTTCTTCCTTTTTCACTTGTTTGAGGTCTTTATGTGCCCAACACATTTTCTCTGCTCTTTCAGGCAAAGATGGATGAGCTCCAGCTCTTTAGGGGGGACACAGTGCTGATGAAGGGCAAGAAGAGGAGGGAGACCGTTTGCATCGTCTTGTCTGATGACACCTGCTCCGACGAAAAGGTTCGCATGAACAGGGTGGTCCGCAACAACCTCAGGGTGCGCCTTGGTGATGTCATCAGGTAAGACTGTTTTCTATCTAAACTTTCATTACATATAATGAAAAATTTGACCCTTCTTCCTGTTTCACTTGTTTGAGGTCTTTATGTGCCCAACACATTTTCTCTGCTCTTTCAGGCAAAGATGGATGAGCTCCAGCTCTTTAGGGGGGACACAGTGCTGATGAAGGGCAAGAAGAGGAGGGAGACCGTTTGCATCGTCTTGTCTGATGACACCTGCTCCGACGAAAAGGTTCGCATGAACAGGGTGGTCCGCAACAACCTCAGGGTGCGCCTTGGTGATGTCATCAGGTAAGACTGTTTTCTATCTAAACTTTCATTACATATAATGACTAAAATTGCTGAAACATTCCCAGGATCTTTCAGAATTATTCTAATTGGCAGGACTATAATACTAGCTATTTCAAAATGTACCTCTGAATATATGGATCATTCATTTGTTCCTCTTTCTGGTTTTCAGTATTCAGCCATGTCCAGATGTGAAATATGGAAAGCGCATTCACGTTCTGCCCATCGATGACACAGTGGAGGGCATCACTGGCAACCTGTTTGAGGTCTATCTTAAGCCTTACTTCTTGGAGGCTTACCGACCAATCCGTAAAGGTAAATATATCTTTAAAAATTATTATAAAAGTAATAAGGTAATAGGTTCTTTTTATTCTGTTCATGAAGTCAATTGTGAGATGTTACTTTTTATGTTTTCAATGTATGTACACTACCATGCAAAAGTTTGGGGTCAGTAGTTTTATTTTATTATTTTTTGTTATGATTTTGGAAGACTTATTCAGCAAGAATGCATTAAATTGATTAAGTCACAGATTTTATATTGGTACAAAAGATATCCATTTTATTATTAGCTGCTGAAAATTCAGCTTTATCACAGGAATAAATTAAATTTTAATATGTATTTAAATGAAAGTTATTTTAAATTGTAGCATTTCAAAATATTTGTTTTATTAAATTTATCCTTTGTGAGCAAAAGGGACTGCTTTCAAAAACATTAAAGAAATCCAAACATTTAAACGGTCTTACTTAATTTGGGTTTATATGCACTATTGTCTTTTTTTTTTTTTTCACTTGTAAGTTTTGGCGCTTCTGTGGATTCAAGTTAAATTGGTGTATCGTGGTGCTTGGCATGAAGTCTGATTTGTCACCTGATGGATTTGATTTGAAATGTCAGCTGTGTTTTTAGTAAAAGATTGTGTTTTGTCTAAGACTGCATGAACTGCAGTTGGTGTATAAAACAAATTTGAAGTGTTTTGATATTTCACAAGTTTGGTTTTGCTTTTTTTCCGTAGGTGATATTTTCCTGGTCAGAGGAGGCATGCGTGCTGTGGAGTTCAAAGTGGTGGAGACCGACCCCAGCCCATACTGTATTGTGGCCCCAGACACGGTGATCCACTGTGAGGGGGAACCCATCAAGAGAGAGGTCAGTAGATTGACAAATGTTTTAAATTTTGTCATGGATTAAAATGGACTAAATGGGGTTAGGGCACATGAAGTGTGTTTGATTGTATCCGCATGCCTGTTTGCAGGATGAGGAAGAGTCTCTGAATGAGGTGGGTTATGATGACATTGGAGGGGTAAGGAAACAGCTCGCCCAAATCAAAGAAATGGTGGAGCTACCTCTGAGACACCCAGCTCTCTTCAAGGCTATTGGAGTGAAGGTAATTACCTGCACTCTGAGATTTACACACATTAAAGTGTTATGAGTTTGCAGTCTGAGGTTCCAATCATTTCTTGTTTGTTCAGCCTCCCCGCGGCATTCTGCTGTATGGACCCCCTGGAACTGGAAAGACTCTTATCGCTCGTGCTGTGGCAAATGAAACTGGAGCATTCTTCTTCCTCATCAATGGTGCGTATGACAACACAGAATATAAATATGCCTAAATTAGTTCTCTGTAATGGCTACTGATTTTTTTTTTTAAAACACATTTTACAAAAGTACATTTTGAAATCTTGATAAAATGAGCTTGACAAAAACGTTTGATCCCAGGACCTGAGATCATGAGTAAACTGGCAGGTGAATCTGAGAGCAATTTGCGCAAGGCTTTTGAGGAAGCAGAGAAGAACGCACCAGCCATCATCTTTATTGATGAACTTGATGCCATTGCACCAAAAAGAGAGAAGGTAAGATTTCTGAGTGGTGGTTTTTGCTCAAATAATCATCTCTTTGACTGATTCTTTATGCTCTGTTTTTATCTGTTAGTAAAGTATTTTATTTGTTGCCTTTTTTTGTGTGACATTAATATTATAAAAGCTTTTCTGGCAAAAGCCGTTTCAGCCAAAACATTGTTACAAATTCTTGATTCCCCGCCGCCCCTTTTTGACCTGTTCTCGCAGTTTGAAAGACAACATTAAATCACTGAAAAGAGCACAGTGTCTGTTAACAAACTATTGAAGTCGGTTTTGTTAATTAAAATAGTTGAAATAAAATATAAATGTAGGATAAAAACGTTTAGAAGAATATTACACAAATTTGAAATATTGCCTTGGCTACTAACTGAAATAAGGATGAAGTACTAAAACTATGAAAAGTGTATGTACTAAAAAAAAATGACAACGCAGAACTAAATTTAAAATGAATATAGAAATAAAGGCTAATTCAGAATAATACTTGCTCTTGTGATCACCATACCTGATTTAATCCTGAATATTATGTTCTGCTTTAACTGGAATCCAGTGGAATAACTTGAATGCACATTATTAGCAGTATGTACTAAGAATAGTTTTTAATGAAAAATGTGCTATAATGTCCTTTATTTTAAAACGTTCAGATAATTCAAAATGCTTGTTCAATTTTAAATGTTATTAAGCAATCCGCTCCATTGCATATCACTACTTTAAAGCAACCTCTTATCTGAGATGTATGCGTGTGAATGTCTAATTGGGGGTTATTGCAGTAAATGGTTCTCATGTGTTTTCTCAGACTCATGGTGAGGTGGAGAGGCGCATTGTGTCTCAGCTGCTCACTCTGATGGACGGACTGAAGCAAAGGGCTCATGTCATTGTCATGGCAGCCACTAACAGACCCAACAGCATTGACCCAGCTCTCAGACGATTCGGTGAGATCACTTTGCTCAAGTGTTGCTCTGTAAAGAAAAAAATCTTTTGCCAAGACATTTCCAGTTGATGTTCGGGCTTCTTGGTACAAGCAGTGCACCTTAGAAGGGAACATCTTGTGCTGATGTTCTGACTCTCTTGATTTCAGGGCGCTTTGACAGAGAGGTGGACATCGGCATTCCAGACGCTACTGGAAGACTTGAGATACTTCAGATCCACACCAAGAACATGAAGCTGGCAGATGATGTTGATCTGGAGCAGGTGTGTTTCAGAGGATGTCAGAACATTCAGTGCTAAGTGACGATTTGCTTTCATTTAAACTGGGTCTCCTTAATCTGGCACTGGCAGGAGCATCAAGCCTGTTTAATTCTGCCCACTCAGATTTTTGAGCCAAGTGGATAAAATTTTTTAATGCATCTCCCCAAAATAATGTATTTTCATATGTCTCAATTTTGCAGATTATTTGCTGGGGGTTTTTTTCCCCTCCCTACCATTCCTTTGTGGAATAGAGGTAGAATAGAATAGAGATCAGGTTAATCTGCAGTTTTTTTTTTTTTATCTTGCTTTTATATACTACTACTGGTTTCTAGGTCAGATTTGAGTCCCATTGCATGCTAAATTATTTAGGGCACCAAATGATTGGAGCTTGTGCCCCATCAAATATGGGTGCATAAGCAGTGTTATACATGATACTGTAATTTATTTTGAATTGGCTTTTATTTTTTTGTTTAATTTAGTTGTTTTTGTGTATGATTTTGACTTTGTTGTTTTAAATATTACTTTTTGTAGGTTTAGTTCAGTTTAATTTTGTTTCCAGTTAGAAATGTTTGTTTAAACTTAAAAAAAAAAATTGTAACTAAGTTTTTTTTTGTTTTTTTTTTCCATCTTGTTTATTTTATAATCTTAATTCCAGTTAACAGATCTTTTAATAGCTTTAGTTAGTGATGATTACCTTAGTGCATTAAAAAATTTTTTTTTTTTCTTCCTTTTTATAAACCGTCCATCGTTTGCCTTTAGGTTGCAAATGAGACCCATGGCCATGTGGGTGCTGATCTGGCTGCCCTTTGCTCAGAAGCTGCCCTGCAAGCCATTCGAAAGAAAATGGACCTCATTGATCTGGAGGATGAGACCATCGACGCAGAGGTTATGAACTCCCTGGCTGTAACAATGGATGACTTCAGGGTGAGGATCTTAGTAACTCTTACAACCATCTGACCAATCAAATGTGAGGAAATTGCATTCAGAAACTAAAGAAATTATTGATTTGTCACCCTCTTCTACCTAACAGTGGGCTCTTAGCCAGAGCAACCCATCTGCCCTGAGAGAGACCATTGTGGAGGTGCCCAACATCACCTGGGAGGATATCGGTGGCCTTGATGATGTCAAGAGAGAGCTGCAGGAGCTGGTGCAGGTACTGAGCACATAAGTCTTGTTCGTATTTCGGACAACAAAATGTTCTCACGGCTACATTTAAAACTCTTTTACACATCCTTACCAATATTTTCTGTCCTTTTTAGTACCCAGTGGAACATCCAGACAAATTCCATCAAGGGCCCAGAACTGCTCACCATGTGGTTTGGAGAATCAGAGGCTAATGTCCGTGAGATCTTTGACAAGGTATGTCATTTTGCATTTTCTATCAGGTAGTTTCTGACTGATTTTCAATGTGTAGTAAGACAAATTATGTTTTTTTTTTTTTTTTTTTAAAGGCTGTGGGTCTACTGATCTTGTTTGTTCTTGCAGCAACTATAATGATGTTTAAATTAAGGATCCATTTTAAAATTGTCCTGCTGGCTTTGTCCTTCTCCAGGCTCGTCAAGCTGCTCCTTGTGTGCTCTTCTTTGACGAATTGGACTCCATTGCTAAGGCTCGTGGTGGAAACGTTGGCGACGGTGGCGGCGCTGCTGACAGAGTCATTAACCAGATTCTCACAGAAATGGATGGTATGTCCAGCAAGAAGAACGTCTTCATCATTGGGGCCACCAACAGACCAGACATCATTGACCCTGCCATCCTCAGGCCTGGCCGACTGGACCAGCTTATCTACATCCCACTGCCTGATGAGAAGTCTCGCATTGCCATTCTCAAAGCTAACCTCAGGAAGTCTCCAATCTCAAAGGTGAAAGTGGATGTTTTGTCTTTTTTTTTTTTTTTATGTGGTTTTTATCTTGTTATTGGGTATTAATGTATTTTTGTGTAGGACGTGGACGTGGACTACTTGGCCAAGATGACCAATGGCTTTTCCGGTGCTGACTTGACTGAGATCTGTCAGAGAGCCTGTAAACTAGCCATCCGTGAGTCTATTGAGAATGAGATCAGACGGGAACGTGAGAGGCAGACTAACCCTTCTGCAATGGTGAGATTTCATTGTTTGCCTAAATGAGTGCTTCTCTGACCTTTCGAAGTACTTGCTTTTCAAAGTTGAGCAAATTGAAGCATCTTTAAGTGGATTCCTAAATACCATGGTTTGATGGATTTAAAACTAGTATGGTAGTTTGGATTTCCTAACATGTTGGTTTATTGGATATTCAGGAGGTGGAGGAGGATGACCCTGTGCCTGAGATTAGAAAGGACCATTTCGAGGAAGCCATGCGCTTTGCCCGGCGCTCCGTCAGCGATAACGACATCCGCAAATACGAGATGTTCGCACAGACCCTGCAACAAAGCAGAGGCTTTGGCAGTTTCAGGTGGGATCTTAAGTTACGTTTAGTGGCAGCTTTTGTTATGAAGGAAGGAATGATGGAATTATGAAGGAATTTTTCTCTTAAAATGACAATATGAGCTCTGGGGATTAAATTGTCAGAATGTAATTTGGTTTCCATGCATTCAGAATGCCCTATTTATATTTTTATTTATTTTTTAAATAAGATTCCCGTCCAGTAACCAAGGAGGAAGTGGACCAAGTCAGGGCTCTTCTGGTGGCGGTGGAGGCAACATCTTCAATGAGGACAACGAAGATGATCTTTATGGATAAATGTGACCACGTGGCTGACCCTCACAGGCCACTCTTCATACAGGCCGCCATGTACAAAAGACAAAAAATTAAAAATTCCACATTTTTAGGACTGTGCTTTTTGTTTATTTTCCGCTTCTCCTCTTGTCCATTCCCCCTGTTTTTTATTCGCCTCGTTCTCCTTCTGTCCACCTCCCCCCTCTGTTGATAGAGAAAAGCATGTAGCTGCTTGTGTTTTGCTCTGGTTTGTGAAAGGATGATTTCTGAGAACTTTAATCTTAACGTTCTGTGGGTGGGGGTAAATTTCAGTGAAAACCATACACGATAGTGTTTTCATTAACTTTTCACAAGCTATACGAGCAGCTTTAGTGGTGGGGTTTAATGCTAGGCTGTTAGAAGGATTAAAAAAAACAACAACAAAAAATTGCTAATGACTTCATTTTTTATGAATGTAGCATATAATGTATTACAAGTTTGAAAAATGTTAAATAAAATTCACGAAATGGACCTGATGTTGTGGTGTTTAATTTGTAGAGGTTTGGGGTTTGTGAACGTATAGATAATGATTGCATAAAATGATTTATCTCCTAAATAAATGCTTTTAAAATTGTGAAAAAATAAATGTGCATTTGGATAGGATTTAGTAATTTTTTTTTAAAGAAATTATATACCTCTTCTAGGTAAAGAAAAAAAAAACAATAGAGGGTTATTTTATTTATTTTTATACGTGTCATCCTTAAAAAATGCACCTCATTTATGCTTGTTTAAAAATTACCCAATGATTTCCTCTAGCAAATAACTTTGCTTTATAGTTTGCTCTGGCTTAAATCTTAGTAGTTTGATACTGTCATGTGTATATACTCTAGATGGGTTTGCCATACAATCATAAGAAACTGATTTAAATGCAGTTTTTTTAATTTATTTTTTTAACTTTGATATTGCAGACATGGCAACTTCAATCCTAAGAGGTTTACACATTCTCGGTTGCATTTTATCAATATGAATCACTGCAAGGAAAATGAGGGTGCTTTGCATCTCTCCAGACTTTTTGTCCATCTTCCATCTTTCACAACAGATATTTCAAAACCGTAACATACTTACTGTATACTTAACATATACTTAATACTCACCATTATAGTTGGAATAAGCCTATCATTCCTGTTGAAGGATTCAATCACCTTCATGTCTTCATCCGATAATTTAAAATCAAACACCTGTATGCAAAGGTGAGCAGTGATTATATTTACATAATTATCACTGTAACTCTTAAAGGGGTCATATGATGCGATTTCATTTTTTCCTTTCTCTTTAGAGTGTTACAAGCTCTTGGTGCATAAAGAAGATCTGTAAAGTTGCAAAGACTCAGCTGATATGTTCAAAAAATGCCACACCAGGTTTGATGTCAAATGTAATTGGTTCTCATGTCTCTAAAGCTACCACAAAGCACACACATATTAGATATGATAGTTACAGGAAAGAAATTCACTAAATATTGACTAAATTTATTTGGAAAACCATTTCATTTCTGGGCGAACTATCCCAATAAGTTGTCCCCCTCTCTCCTCATTACAGCTCTTGTCCTCCAGGTGTCTCTGTATGTCCTCTCTTCTGTTGGCATTCTAAATAAGCACTAATGATGATTGGCCTTGCTTAAACTCCTCCAGGTTTATTTAAATCAAGATTTGGTTACATGGAGGCTCAGGGATTAAATAACCTGCCAAGGCATTGAAGTTGAGATGCAAGAGCTCAGGTGCATGTGTTGAAATGAGGAGTCATGGAGGATGAATAATGTTTTAAAGCTTAAGTGTGGAATGTCTCTCACAAGCATACCGATTTAGAAAAATAATGATTGTTTTTACGCTAGGTTTTCTAGACAAACATTTAGTGCCGCCCCACAATCACGTCATTGGTTGAGGCTGTGATTGGCTGGTCTGGTTTTGCTGGCAAAGAGCTTTAGGAACGTCAACCTCTTATGGTTGTCTCTGGATGGTAAAATGGAGCAGGAGAAAGTATTTTATAAAACGGATAGTTCCGGTCCTTGATTCTGATTGGTCGTTCGAAGCCGTTGTAAATTACACTACAAACATACACCTTTGTTTACTTCTGTGTGTTGCTCGGCAACCACTTTGTTGCAACTACAACTGTTTCTGAGGAACTACATTGTTTGGTGGAAGAATACTGTTTTTATATATATCATTACACTTTATTTGCTCTGTTTTATTCTGTGAAACCTTACTACGTATATGGAATAACCGTTTTATAAAAGCAATAAGCCCGTGAAGCCGTGGTTTACAGTGAATTTATAACAGCTAAGTGGGTTTTAGGTGCTAAGGGTAACAACGCCACCCTTAGCTGTAATAAATTCACTGTAAACCATGGCTTCTTGGAGCTTATTGCTTTATTAACCTTGAAAAAATGAAGTTAATACTTTTTCCAACCTACCTCAATGTTCTGCTTGATCCTGGATGGAGTGACGCTTTTGGGGATGCAAACGACACCTCTCTGTATGTGCCATCTATGAGTCAAAAACAAATCCAGAAATGTGTAATGGACATGTACTCAAAATCACACTAATAATACTCACATAAAACATAAAAGGAGGAATCCCTACTCAGCAGACAATATGGGCCTATTCTTGGATCAGATGACCATCCTCACCTGATAACAACCTGAGCAGGGGTCTTGCTATAGCGCTTGGCCAAACCGACCACCCTTGGATCATCCAGCAGATGGGCTTCTCCAGGTGTAACCCATGGGCGATCAGGAGAACCCAGAGGACTGTAGGCTGTTACTGCCAGCCCTCGACTCCAACAGTGAGATACCAGCTGAGTCTGAACCAGGTAAGGATGACACTCCACCTGAAAATATTTTGGAATGAAACAAACAAAAAAACTTTTTATAATAGTTATTATAATGTATATTTACATTTACATTTATTCATTCATTCAAATAAACAAAACAACAGAATAGTTAAAATGGGGAAAACAACAACAACAACAAAACACCTAATGACTCTGACCACACAGAAGTTGCAGTAATACCTTTGTTGCCATTAGTTGTCAATGGCAAATTAACACAAGGACAGTCCAGTCTTACGGTCTTTGCAATTATCACTTTTACATACCTGGTTGACCACTGGCTTGTGTTTGGCAAAGCTGAGAATGTCATCAATCTGTCTGGCATTGAAGTTTGACAAGCCAATGGCTTTTACCAGGCCTTGGTCAACCAGCTTCTCCATGGCTGCCCATGTGTCTCTATAGTGAGTGTCATCATACCGAATAGTGCCATCAGGTCGCTGGGGCATCAGCTCATCTCCTCTCCTGGAAGTATTGAAAACACATTAGCTATAATATTTTGTAGTACACTTTTGCACTTTCAAACCAGTCATTCAGCTGAAATTATGGCCACATTTGGTCCTATAAGGCCTCATTACACTGAAACTCTTGCAGCACAGCAACATATTTTATCCCACTGAACCTATTCTGTTCAAATACACTACTGTTCAGAGGTTTGAGGTCAGTAAGATTTTTTTTCCTTATGGAAAGACAATTGCATCGTGGGCAGCACATTGACACATAGCGCTTCGTGCGTCCCAAGTTTGAGTCCCGGCTTGCAGACTTTTCGCGATCCCGTCCCCCCTCTTTCTCTCCCACTTCGCTTCAGAAGATTTGTATTTCAAACAAATGCTGTTGTTTTGAGCTAATCAAAGAATGCTGAAAAAAAGTATACATTTTTCCACAAAAATATTAAGCAGCACAATGATAATAATAATAGGAAATGTTTCTTGTGCAGCAAACCAGCATATTAGAATGATTTATAAAGGATCATGTGACATTAAAGACTGGGATAATGACTGCTGAAATTTCATGCCATCACAACAATAAATTACATTTTAAAAGATATTATTTTAAATTGTAATATTTAGCATACTGCATTTTTTTTATTTTAAATAAATGCAGCCTTGATTAGCATTAGAGACTTCTTTCAAAAAAACTTTGAAAGGTTGTGTATGTTGGAGAAAGTCAAATAAATTGCTCCACTATCCAAGAGTTAGATATGGAAACATAAAGACTAAATCAAAGGCCATTGGCCAGTGCATGAGATACAGGTCCAGATAACTGAGCCTCAGATCGGACAAAGACTTTTTTTGCAGGCCTCCTCCACATCATCTGGATGGTGCTTGGTGTTCCATAATTTGGATGTCACAAAAATGTCTTCTCGTCTCAGAGGCTAGTTACAAATTTCATGTGTGTGATGTATTGATGATTTTAAGGTAATTGTCTTTGATGGATTTCATATATAGTTTTATCTGCAGGTATCCTTTCCTTCTCCAAATCGTTCACTCAGGGCCTGTCCGACCTCTCGCTCATTGCTGTAAGCCGCTGCGCAGTCAATGTGCCTGTAGCCACAGTCTAAAGCTGCTAGTACAGCCTGCTTCACCTACAGTAAGAAACAATCCAATCCAGTTCTGCCACAATGAATAAATCAGCTAATAAACATACAGAAATAAGAAGATACAGTGCATACTGTACAGTGCAATTTTGGGCTATACTAAACTTTTTATCAGCTTATGTTGGTTTTGACACACCTGTCCTGGGGCACTTTTCCATGTTCCTAAGCCCACCACTGACATCTGCTGACCCGTGGAGAGAGTGACTGTTGCTGTCATGGTTTAATTAGAGCACTTTTCCTATCAATAAATAAACACACAAATTGTAGACCTGAATGACTGTCTATTATTATTTTTATTATTTATTATTATCCATTATAAAATCTAGACGACCTTTAAAAAATTATAGTGATTCTGATAAATGCATTGTGTTAATGGTTCTGTATGTTCATTTAATTTGCTGTCTAAAATGTAAAATTTGTGTTTTGTAGTGTAATTCTAGTTTAAACATTATTCAAAATGACAAATTTCACATCAGTCAACATAAATATAGTATTACAAAACCATGTATGATCATGTAACGGTGCAGTGATATTTGTGACCCTGGAGCACAAAACCAGTCATAAGTCGCTGGGGTATATTTGTAGCAATAGCCAACAATACATATAGTATGGGTCAAAATTGTTGATTTTTCTTTTATGCCAAAAATCATTAGGATATTAAGTAAAGATCATGTTCCATTAAGATATTTTGTAAATTTCCTACCGTAAATATATCAAAACATAATTTTTGATTAGTAATATGCATTGCTAAGGACTTCATTTGGACAACTTTAAAGGCAATTTTCTCAATATTTAGATTTTTTGGCACCCTCAGATTCCAGGTTTTCAAATAGTTGTATCTCGGCCAAATATGGTCCTATCCTAACAAATCATACATCAATGGAAAGCTTATTTATTCATATGATGTATAAATCTTAATTTAAAAAAATTGACCCTTATGACTGGTTTTATGGTCCAAGGTCACATTTAGTCTTCCTGCTCCTTTCCAGAGGTTTCCTAACACTGGAGATTTTTTACTTTGTTTGCCTTGAATTAGAGTGATTATTTCAGGTTTA